CACAAGACCACCCTTCACTTCTTTCATTTCCGTTCAAAAGTACAAGTTATTCACTTTTCAGGAGATATTTCTGAGATAATCCACTTGCATAAGAAAGAGGACAAAGGAAAAAAAAAGACAAAAAATAAAACCGGAGATTAAAAAATGATTAAGATACAGAGAAAACAGGACTGCTAACAGCCATGCAAGACCTGGTAGAGCACCAAAACCGTCCCCATCAGATAAACAAGCTTTCATCTTTGAGAGAGAGGAGAAAATCAAGCTGCTTCAGATCTGGGGAAAAAAAAACAAAAAACAAAAAAAAACAGGTTTCTGTCCATCGTTCCACTGTGAGACAACTCAGCGCTATGGGTCTGAAAGGATGTGAAGCCCTCACTGAATAAAGGAAATATACAAAAAAAAAACAAAAAAAAACAAAGAAGCTGCTGGTGAACAATGGACTGACCCCCCCAGAGTCCAGACCTTAACATCACTGAATGTGTTTGAAATTACTTGGATAGTAGCAGAAAATGCGACCAACTTCTTCTAAGACTGAACTTTGGGGAAAAATATGCTTGCAAATTTCTGCGAGTCTCCTAAAATCAACAGAAGCTGTAATAAAGGCAGAGCGGACACACTACATAATGAAAGTGTTGGTATTACTTAGCTGTTAAGGCTCTTGTGTAATTTTCTGTTAAATATATGTCTTGGACAGCTTGCCATTTTGACTGGAATAAAAAAAAACGAAGGGTGGTCTCTGACTTTTGCACAGCACTGTACGTCGGCCACGTCGTCTGCCGTTGGCTAAGTGAGTGCTCAGTGCTCTGTCTGAGCTGGCCATGTGCATCAGAACTCATGAGCAATGATCCAGGATCAGTTTTTATACCTCCTCTGCTTCAAGCAAATCTAATTAGAATGTAAAGAACGGACCTAGACCTGGTTCAGTCATCGATGCACATGGGCTGCTGGACAAAAGTGAGCTAGTGGTGTCTGAAGATGCTTGAAACCTCAAGCAGTTAACCAAGTGTGACTGCAGAGTAAAACGGATTGCTCTTTTCTTCCAGCAAGGCTTTTGCCTTTGTGACTTTTTGTTCCTGATCAAATTATCCTCGCTGTTTGTCTGTTTGAAAATATTGCATAGCCCTTTTCTCTAGAATGCGAGTGCTCTAGTTTCTCTATGCCCCTTCCCCACTGGCTAGGGTCGAGGTGGAGAGGAGGCTGAGGAACGAGGACAGATGAGGACCGCTTTTAAGCCTTTGACAAGAGGAAAAAAAAATTACATTCTAGTAGAAATTTAGCTTTTAGAGACATGATTTTGTGGACCTGGAGATTGTCAGATCTAAACAAATCTACAGTCCGCTGCAGAGAAAGGACTTTTTAAAGACATCTTTCAGACGATGAAGCACTCACTATCCTAAAACACACTCTAGAAAAATTAGAATAGTTCTCTGATGCATGCTTTTATGAACCCTAACACCGGCGCGCGCGAGATCATCATCCTAGTTCTAGTCCTCTGAATCCAGTGAACTCAAACTGTGCTGAAGAACGTGTTAATTTTGTCTCCGGGGCTTAAAGTTATAAACAGTTCCCCTTCTCACCTAAACCTCGGCAGCAACGAGAGCGCGAAAGCTTTTGTACACAGTCGCGAGTCCATGAATAGCATGCCGCCTGGAAATGAATAAATACTACTAAAGCTATCAGATACTTTTAGTCTCATCATCCAAATTCACTCTGTGAACCTGTTCAAAAGACAGAGCTGCAACATTCTGCATTCGTACAAGCACAGATGTACCGTTTGCGTGTTTGCTTGACAAAAGAACCGCTAGATGAGAGACGGCGAAACAGCTAAATTGCCTCCACTGTTTGATTACTGGATTTGCAATTAGATAATCTATGGCTGGAACCGGTGCACAATCAAAGACTCTGCTCATCAATCGCAAATCAACCGTGCAACGTTATGCATACCGTCCTGGGACTAAACCAGGGAAAAAACAAAGTAACCCACACGAGTAAAAAGATACCTTACATCTACTGCCAGTATGCAAATCCCACTGTCGTCTAAAACAAGCAACAACCTCCGGACATGAAACGGAAATTTATGTGAGGCAAACCAACAGGACCGCAAAATATGGGAGAGGGCCTCCAATCTCATTAGTCAGGTCATGAATGAAGTTTTAACTTCTTAAATATAAGGTGCTTTTTATCTATCGAATAAAAAAAGTGCATTTGTTAAAGTGGATTTCCACATTTTTCTTTTTAATTTTTACATAATTCAGTGCTTGAGATTTAAAGTCATTCAGAGTGGTTTGATGTGAAATGAACGAGTCAGTAAAGAAACTTACTGACTCAAATATTTTTCACAGCGGTGGTGATGGGAACCAGGAGTCACAATGTCTACGCGAATATAGCCATTTTAATTGCAATCCAAAACCACCTGAGTTCTGAGCTTTTATATGTAATGCTAATGATGGTAAAATCATAGTAAATCTAAAGAAATACATTTTCTTTAGGGACTATTTCA